TAGAAACATATTGGATCCCAGTTAGGCTTTTGATACTTGCATCCCCTGATGTCTTCCACGTAAAACACTTGGTGGGTAGGCCTCAAAGTTCGTTCATTATTTTTCATGGCCCTGTTGGAAGATTTAGATATGGGTGTGCCGTTACTTATGGAATATATCACATTCACTTGGCGTTGGTTACTGTTATGCCTTGGAAAGTGAATGAGGAATTGATCAATTTTTCCTTCATGTGCCAAAGCTTTAATATGATCACGAATGGGGATACATTTCTCACCGTCATGGACGTTATGCTCGTGATAGCAGAAAAACATGCCCGTGTTCTTCGTGGGCTTGTAATCCGACTGCCTCAGCTTTGGCTTCGGTATCAGGTGTGATATGCTGGGGTAAATGGCCATGCATGTGGCATTCAAAGGTGTGTATGCCTCATACCTCGGGGTAGGGCCTGTCCTGACACTTGCTTGACCCACTGTGTTGACTGCTTGGGGGCGGAGATTATCGTGGCGATACCATTGGTTATCGCGGTAATGTCCCTTACTCATTTTACTAAAATGATACTATTGAGGATGGAAATCTTTCCTTTTGCCCTAAGATTGATATGTCTATTGACTTGGCAAAGTATTAAGTAAGGTAGGGGAGGCACTACTGCCGTTTGGAAGGTTAAGATCTTCTTATTTGGTTGAATCTGGCTTCCACTCATTTCTTGCTGATAAGGGGTGGCTGTATGGGTTTCCCTTGATATGTCTTTGCTTTGGCGGATGCATGGTTGTAAGCATGTGCCATCACCTCAGAGTAAGTCTTCCAAGTGTTGGCATTGATCATGTACTTGAAGAAACAGTCATGTAGGCCTGCCGTGAAGGCCTTGAGGGCGGTCTTGTCATCTGCCTCAGTGCAGCGAGAATACTTATGGCTGAAGCGATCGGCATACTTTCGTAATGACTCGTCCGACTTCTGGCGAATAATGTACAAGTCATCTGCAGAATGCAAACGATTGGTATGGAAGATGTGTTGAGAGACAAACAGTTTCCTCAGTTCCTAAAATGAGTCTACTGTCTCAGGTGGAAGACAACAATACCAATTTAGAGCTTCACCAGAGAGGGAGGAAGGGAAAAGAAAACATCACTCTTCGTCGGTGTGCATCCGATATGCCATGGTAGACTCAAAAGAGGTTAAGGTGTTCAATCGGGTCCTCCCTTCCAGTATAGAGTTGTAAGTCGAGCTTCTGCTTTGTTTTCGCTTGAAGGGGGTGTCGATGATCCTCCTTGTAAGAGGGTCAGGCCTGGGTTAGTTCTAGTTAGGTATCTCAGCCTGACGTTCGGCCTTCAACTTGTTTACTTCCTTAAGGAGTTGTAGGACAATAGGGTCCTGAATGGAGTCATGTACCACTAGAGTTTTCTTCCTAAAGTCTTCATTGCCTTTTGGAAGTAGGAAAGCTTAAGCAAGGGCATATGATTTTTCCTTGGACTCGTCATACTGACTTCTAGGGCGAGTCTGTCGGAATACTTCTGAGTCTTCTGTACCTTCATGTTCCTCTGGGACCTGTCGTTCCTTCCCTAGATTAGCAGCTGGCCTGGGTCGTGGGAGGGGACCGAGTCTTTCAAAAACCCTTAGGTCATTGATCTTCGAGCTTATGTGGATAAGATTCTCTCGACGTTGCTTTAGGAAGTCTCAATAATCACGATAAATGGCTTTCGATCCTTCCAACCCTTTTGCAAGGAGGTGTCTTCCTCCACTTCTCCTGCTTTGGGTCGAAGTAGCTGGGTTGAGATAAGTCTTATGTTGATCAACATTTTGATGATTAGCTCGCTCTTCATCAGGGATACCTATGTCGAAGGAAGGTAACCCTCTGTGTTGGGAGGCACCCAGATGATGGTTGACGTCCATAAAAGCAATGAGCTCGTGTGTTTGAGTATGTTTGGCTTCGTGGAGCGTCTTGAAAATCTTCTCATATTGCTCTTGGAGGATCTCATTCTTTATTGTTATCCTGTTGTTTTGAGCCTTCTGCTCTTCGACTTTAGCTTGAAGAGCGAGCTTCTTTCATTCATTCTTTCGCAGCCTCACACTAGGCGCGATGGGGTGTCGTTCTGTGTGTTGTGGCTTCCTTTGCTCCCCATGTTGGAGAGGGATGTCTGGTCAAAAGAAAGTGTACGAATGGTGGAAACCAGCTTGACAAAGCTAAAGAGAGTAGGAATAAGTGTGTATCCCATAGACGGCGCCAAATGTTAATGCACAAAATCAGTAAGGACTTTGGTACAATATAAAATGTTAAATTTTTGACCTTCACTAGATTGCTCCGATCACTAATATGGATAAGTATGTAAATGGACAGAAACAGGGAAGCAAGCACAAGATGTATGTGGTTTACCCTGATTGGCTACGTCTACGGAGTATAGGAGTTCTCATTAATTGTGAAGGGTTTACACAAGTACATAGGTTCAAGCCCTCCTTTAGTGAGTTCTGGTGAATGATTTAGTACAAATGGCATTAGGAAATATTGTGAGAGAATGATCTCCTTTTATAAAAGAGAGTCTCTAGCTTTGTTTGGACTTTGACACGTGTCGTGCTGTGATTGGCCTCTGATGTTGACACGTGTTGAGCTATGATTGGCCTTTGATGTCAACACGTGTCGCGCTGTGATTGGCCTCCTGTTGGAGGGAAACTCTTGTGGATCCTTGATGGTATAACGTTGACCGGTGCTCAGTAATATCGGGATTGGTCAAGTATGGTATAAACATAATCAAACTCATGTCTCAAGGACACTATCAACAAAAAAATTCAAAACCACCAAGTCAATTACTCAAAATGCAATATCAATCGTAATCTAAGTAATAAAAAAAATTCCAAGTATTGAATATGAAGAATAAATACCAAAACCTAGAGTTAATTTCTAATAAATTAGGGAGCTTGAATAAAAGAAATTCAGATTTCAAAATTAAAAATTTTGGTTAGTTAAGAGAGAGAGAGAGAGAGAGAGAGAGAGCCTTTTATAAATACATGTACTTCTCAAAATAACCAAGAAAGGGAAGAAGATGGAGTCAGTGGGAGGCAAAAGGTGAATGAAAATCTATAGATGGCTAACTAAGAACGGTTGGGAAATTTTGAAGTTGGCGTCGGTGGGAGAGAATAAAAAGGAAGTAAAAAAGATTGAGGAATGATTTCACTTAAATTTTGGGAAGTAACGGAATATTGTGAAAATTTGGGAAATTTTCTAGTTCCACCTTCTGAAACTTTTTAAAATAGTGTGTAACTGCATCTAGGGGTGGATTTTTTTGCCAAATTGTCGTACCAACCGAATTGCCAACCGTGCCATACCGATTTTGTGCCAAATTTTTTGTACCAATCGGTAATGGTACGGTATTGTACCGTACCAAAATTTCATGGTACGGTATTGGTAATGGATACCATTACCACGGTATTACCGTACCATACCAAAAATACAATATAATTTATAATTTATAAATTATATAATAGATAATTATATAACACATATTTATAATATTCCAATAATTTGAAAATAAAACCCTACTTATATTAGTATTGTTGTTGGTGACTTTGATATCTTAAAATTGTGGAAATCAAACACAAAAGAGTTCCTAATTCTTTCACAAAATAGCCAAAATATCTTTGTAACCCCCACTTCTACTGTTGCTAGTGAAAATGCATTTAGCCTAGGGAGAAAGGTTGTGGACCCTTTTAGGGTATCCTTGACTCCTAAAATAATGGAGGCACTAGTGCGTACTAGTGGTTGACTTAGGGCAGATGAAGTAAACTTCTACAAGGAACCAACGAAATATATGCTTCAATTTTACAAGGAAATGAAAGAAGAAAAAACAAAGAAAGATATGCTTTAATTTTTTTAGTAAATTTGTTATTAAATGGTTTTCAACTTTAATTTTTCTTGCTACTAATTAATATGTTTTCTTTGTTTGTAATGTATGCTTGACACAAACTCAATCTTCTACAAGTTCAATGCCTCTTCCAAAAGTTTCGACATCTCAAGCTTGAATAACTGATCAATGAATTCTCCTTTTTGAAGTTTACTTCCAATTTTCATTTGGTTTGAAACTTTAATTTCTATTTGGATTGTTAACTTCTATTTGTTTTGGTTCGTAACTTCTATTTGGATTGTAAGCTTAATTTTCATATTGAATCTTGATGCATCATTTGAATTATTATGTGTGTGAATTGTGAATAATGAATAATAGATTAATTTAATCTACAATGTATGAGATAAAGGTACAAAAAAAAAAGTTTTGCCCTTGAATTGGGTTAAAAAAACAAAAACAGATTTTGTCCCAAAACAAAATGGCAATTACCATTGCCATACCATGCCAACCGAACTTTTGGCAATACCGAACTTCGGTATACCGAAAGTTTGGTACGGTAATGGTAATAGATTTTACTAAATCGAAAGTTTGGTACGGTAATTGGTACAAGGGTTTTGGTACGGTAACCGTACCGAACCCACCCCTAACTGCATCACGTTTAATGTCCGTGGTAGATAAAAAAATGCAGTGTGGCTACTAACAATATTGATCACGGACAATGTACGTGGTGCTTTAATACTTTCACAACGTGCTGACTAAGACCGTGGTAGTAAGTTGTTTTATCATAACGAGCTACTACTTGCCCGTTGTAAAATATTGTTATCCATAACATGCTGACTAGGCCTGTGATAAATGTTCATTTTTTATAACAGGCACATGGTGTCCGTGGTAAATTTGATGTGGTAAATGAACTGTTTTCTTATAGTGAAGACAAAAGACAAATTGTAAGAACTTAAAGAATTTGATCCTTGTCATCCAACCTACTTGAATCATATTTTGTAGACCACGAGATGTGACAATTAATGGTTCGATTACTTCTTTAAATCATTAAAGAAAGAATTCAACCATCAACTGTCAATCACATAGTCTACAAACATGATATCCCTAGTATTTTCCTTTAAATTAGTACCAAATAACATCACATAAAAGGTGAAATACCAAAAAAGTTGATGATTATATTATAGGGGTGCACATAATCAAATTACAAACACTAAAGTTCACAACATGTAGATCTAGAGCATATTATATTAGTGAAACACTAACGACTTATTATTTTATTAACATTTTAACTTCAAACCTCATTGAGAAAATAAACAAATTAAGCGATGATCTAGAGCATATTATATTAGTGATTAGGTGCCTTGATGTAAGCCACGTGGGTGGAATTGGCAACCTTGGTCAATGTTTTCAAATCGTAAGCTATCCAACACCTTGATGTATTTTTGTTGTAAAAGTAACCCAAACACTTGCAATTCGAAGTACACTTCTTAGCACAATTAGCCTCCTTTGTAGCTTCTCCCTTGGTGTACTTGCTCAAGAAGTGATCAACCCCTCCAACTTTGTAGTAGTGGAAGCTCTTGGCATCACAAGAAGTTAGCTTCTCAGGCTTACAAGTCTTGCTCCAACCCAATAATCCCTTAGAGGATGGGCAAGCAACACATTGGCTGTCCTCACAAAGGCCAAAAGTACCACATCGCTCGGGCAATTGGCACTCATTAGTTTCCCATAACCAATTATCTCTATCGAAAAGAGTGAAGGTCACCTCCCACGCACCCCAATCCACATTGTCATCGTAAGTGTAAAGCTTGACATTTCCATCTATTTCAAGCCTAAGGAATGTCAACATGCTATTGTATTTGGGCCTCGCTAGAATGTGGCCTCCCGCTAAGGTAGGGTTGACCACTTCAAATTGTAGGGTTAGGTCATAAGCATGGCCCTCATCTGTCTCTGGAGCACAATTAAATGTGACACGGTCAAATACGCTTTTGGCCGGTGTAACATCTGTAATTGAAAACTGAGTGTAGAGTAACGGCTTTGGGGAGTTGTTGCTCTTGTAATACAAAGATATTGACTTGGATTCCATCACTATGCTGTAAGGTCCATCTTTGTTTTCTGTCTCGGAGGCTCGACTCACCAGTTTGTTCACTGCTCTGGCCCTTAGAGATTGACCCACCAACAAGGTGTCAGTAGGGTGGTCAAAGCTTTGCCAGACAAAGTTGCTCTTCGAGTCATGGAGCACCATGTTGCCTGTTGGAAGCAACTTGAAGCCTACCACACCTTTATTGGCAGTGTTGGTTTGCCAAGCCACTCGGCCATCGGCATCCGCTAGTACAAGATTGCCATCTGTTCCAAACGCGAGGGTGGCATTTTCTCCAACTGGGTTTCCTCGATTGGCCTCCCAAACCCAACGTCTGAGTGACTCTGAGCGAGTCGTACCCATGCGAAGAGCTAGTGTAAAGGCATTTGGGCTAGTGTTGTAGAAGGCAAGTTGGAAGGGGGAGCTATACACATTAAGCATACGGTAGTTTCCATCATATTCTACAATGTAAGGCCCAAATTCTCCTTCGTTGACAAACTTGAATGTTTGATTAGCGGGAACTTGAGCTTGGGCATTGAAAGCAAATAGAGAGAAAGGAATAGCGAAAGCAATGATGACATGGTAAATGTGGGTGAAAGCATTGGAGAGTGCAGTTTTGTTGTGGAGATGTAGAATTAAGTACCTTTATTTATAATTTAAATTGGAATGATGACTGAGATTTGATCTTTCATAAATATTATTAAAGATATAGCCATAACTATGTGCACCAACTGTTTAGACGCCAATTTTGGTCAAATTCTGCATAGCCGCACTTGTATATGTAGAACCCGTATGATCCTGTTGAATCTATAATATAATGAATCTGTGTTCTTTAATATGCAATCTATATAACTTTTTATAATTACACTGCACCTTTTTTCAATGCCTTGTTATTCCTAGAGGCTATATATGTGCAACAGAAGTGTTGCTCATTTGTGATCAAAATATCATGTGTTCAAGTTGTGAAAACAACTTATTTATAAAAGTAAGGGTAAGACTGCATACAATATATGTTTTCCGCTCTCCTGACCTTCGCAAAGAGAGAAGTCTTGTTGGTTTGGGGTTGCCTTTGATATGAATGATTGTATATATGCTTTGCTAATATTTTTTCTTGAATGGAATATTGTTCTCAAATGTTTGTGTATGTTAAAAGGATCAAATACTACCTACAAATCAATTTGTTGTGGATTCTACGTTTGTGTAGGTTGAAAATTTCAACATATCACTACCAGAAATTATAGTCATACGATCAATTAACTAAACAACTAGCCTAAGCTTGATCTTAGCCAAAAGCTAGTCATACTATTACATGATCCGTATATCTAAAAAGTCAACAAAAAAGCAAGCGCTTGTATAGAGTATTTTTATTTATTTATTTAATTTTTTTTTAAAGAAATGTCAACTTACAATGGAATTGGATCATTTCCGAGGCAATGCCTCGAGATCTTCCTGATCGGACAACATGGGCTGTTGGATTTTGATCCAACGGCTACAAATAGGGAATCCTTCTAAAAGTTATAATAATTATAACCGTTAGATCAAAATCTAATAGCCCGTGTTGTCCAATTAGAAGGATCCCAAGGCATTGCCTCATAGAGGATCCAATTCCACTTACAATATCGTTTTCTGGACTGTGCAAGAAAGACAATAAAGAACATATTATTCAAATCTTTTTTTTTTTTTTTTGGTCGAAAAGGAACATTCATTAATTAAGTAGAAAATGTTACACCTTTCCCAACGGAAGGCAAAAGTAACCCAAAGTAAATTGGGGGAATCAAGTACATAAAGCCAGCCCAACAAGCAAACTAGCAAAAATTAAAACCCTAATCTATAATTGCCAAACCGAGATTTAGTCGCCAGATTTGAACCACCATGAAAAATCCCTGCAAATATATACAATGTTTTTATCACAAATGGTCCTTGAAATTGACTCTCACCATCAAGGTGGTCATTGAAATTGAAAATCAATCAATGTAGTCCTTAAAAATAGGTGTTCCAAATCAATGTGGTCATTCCGTCACAATTATGTTCAAAATTCCGTTAAGTGCTAATGTGGCACGTAAATGGATCCCACATGATTTACGGGTTTTAATCACAAATTGACCCACACCATCAAGATGATCCCTAAAATTGAAAATCGATGAACACAGTCCTTGAAAATAGGTGTCGCAAATCAATATGATCCTTTTACCACAATTATGTAAAAGGTTTTGTTACGTGCTAATGTGGGTTTAATAATTAATTAAAAAAAGTTGTTTAAATACCTTTTTGCACAATTAATTTTTTTTTCTCATAGTAGGGCCTGCTCTGAATAGAACTCTTCCATAAATTCTGAAATGCACAAGGCTTAACCAAGGCCTTAGAGGGGGTTTGGAAATAGTTTTCAACCAACAATAGACGCACCTCAATTATAACCTCATTATCTCAAGGCAGACTTAACCGTTCTTTGAGTCACCAGACCACCAGGAAAGTGTCGAACAAGCTCTCCAAGATAAGGTTGTGATGATGTTGATCACCTAAATGTTAACGGTGATGTCCCATAAGTTGTTGTCAATCGACCACGTCATCACCAAACGTGATCTTGATCCATGTTCAATTCGGTGAAGTGTGTCAAAGTGTGTAAAGATAGGTGTATTGAGTTTTTTTTTAGAGAATAGATAGCAAATGAGGTAGATGAATGTGGACTGGGATCGGAGGTGACTGCAAGACTGAGTTTTTGGGTTGACAACTTTTTATTAACAATTAAATTATTAAACTGTTTGTAATTTTTTAATTTAATTAGACTTGGGTAACCCATTTATGTGTCACATCAGCACATAATAGAATTTTTGATAGAATTGTGACAGAATGACTACATTGATTTGAGACACTTACTTGTGGGACTATATTGATCGATTTTCAATTTCAGGGACCATTTTGATGTCGCAGGTCAATTTCAGAGACCATTTTGATGTCGCGGGTCAATTTCAAGGACCATTTGTGAGAGAGAAAAAAAGACTTATGGGACCCATTATGTGCCATATCAGCACTTAATAGAATTTTTAACAAAACTATGACGGAATGATCACATTGATTTGCGACACCTATTTTCAGGGACTACATTGATTGATTTTCAATTTTAGAGACCATCTTGATGGTGAAGGTCAATTTCAGGGACCATTTGTGATAAAAACTTTATGTACAAATATAGTAGCACATGGATAGAAGGTGAGGCTAAGGGGGTAAGTAAAATACCCTTACTTCGGCTGAAACCACAGAACACTTGGCCTCGAGGGGATTCCGGCATGCCAGTTGGGGGAAGGGAAGTGAGCAAGAGAGATGCATTTGACATCCATTTTTGATTCGACACACACATATCGGAGCCTAGGATGGGGTGCGGGTGGATTATAAGGAGGTAATGTACAAAGGAAAGGTGGGAGGAGATGAAGTTCTGGGTTTGCAAAGGGACAGCCGGAAAAAATGGAGGTTGGAGAAAGAGGGTTGATCACTAAAGAAAGGGCATCAAGCTTGGAACTAAGACAAGCTCATGGAAATGAGGAGACCAAGCTCAAAAATTCCAAACAAAGCTGAAAGGAAAACTAAAATACGAGCAAGAGGGAAGGAGATGAGAGAAGAATGAGAAGAGAGAGGGGGGTTGCCACCGGTACCCAAGCCAAAGGCTAGGGTCGGCGGCTAGGTTTTTACCTCAGTTTGTGTTCAAAAAGTTCCGCTGCATCAAGGTCTTTTCCGAATCACATATTATTCAAACCTAAAATAGTTTATAATTTATACCCACAATAATAAACCCTAACACAAACCACAAACCCTAAACTTTTTAGTAGATAAATGTATAGGAAACCAGGCTGCTCGAAGCCTCTCTAATCTCGTATAATCGCACAGATGCCAGTATACTGTAAAATATCATTGCATTTTTATGTAATTAAGAGCATACCCAACGGGAAACTTTCCACCATGAGGCTGCCTCTTTTAATCTTCTATGCATGTATTACCGTTGGCATCCAACGGTATAGTATATCCTTCCCTAAATCAATGGCTCCAACTGAAATAAAAGGGTCTCAATTTATCTAACTCCAATGGCTTAATTGCTTTTACTATCATGGTTGTTATCATTTGCCCTGCAACAAGACGTTTCATGAAATTATATCCCAAAAGTACAAAGTTCTGACTGATAATTAGAAGGGACCAAATGCAAATACAATAACAAATTGATCAATCTGTTAGTGTTTGTTTAATGAATTGGATTGTATTTTGATGGTTTCGATTTAGTTTTGAGAAAATAAAATCAGAGAAGCAGAGGAAGAAGAAGGCTGAGTGCATAGCTCATCTTTCATTCATTCAGTATGTGTGTGAATACATATCCAAAAACAAAGGGAAAAACAAAGTGACGGAGCATCACATGCTCACACAAACCAAAGACTCAACACACACGTGCACATCACATGCACAACTTACTCTACACAACTGCTATAACAACCGGTATAATACAAGCTACTGAGATGTCATAATCCTAGTTGTATATTGCAGCTAGAATTAAAACACTTAAGAACAAAAAAAAAAAAAATATTCATATGAAGCACATAAGTTGCAAAATATAATTTGTTATGATATGCAGCAATCTTACATCTCAACACTCCCTTCTAAGTTTGTTGTTGATTTCATTCCCCAATAAACCTCTTAGATAATAAAATTGATCCTTTGGCAAAGCCTTGGTGAAAATATCAGGCAATTGCTCCTTAGATTTGCAATACATCGGTTCAATGATGTTCTCTTGTAGGGCATTTCTAATGTAGTGAGATCTGCGATCTCTAGTGAAAAACTGGATTTCTTATCTTAGCAATTGCATAGATGTTATCACAATAGACTGTAGTTGCATAAGTTTGAATTTCTCCAAAGTCTTCCAACACAAATCTGAGCCAACTTGCTTGAGTTATTGCCTTTGAAGCACTGACATACTCATATTCAACAACAACACTATGTTGCTTCACAGATGCTCATGAGAAAATGCTACTGCCAAATGTGTTGGTGTATAACCCTTTAGCTGAAGCTTGGCAGCAAGAATCATGTCTCTATGTTTTGTTTCAGTTTGAATGTGAGCCATTGGATCATAGTCCACATGGCATTTTAATCTTGTATCTAGCCTAAGTAATAGAATAAGCCAAGTGGCATCATCTCATAGGATGATAGCAATGAATGGCTAAGATTGTGTTGTATGTTGAAGAGTGAAGGATCTCCCTTCCTTCCTCATATAACGGTTAGATTGTATTGTGTGAAAATGTCAATGGAAATTCGAAGAGACATGTTTGCAGCTTCTTCTCTCTAAAACTCTCTCCATCATTGAAGACAACCTCCATTGAAATACATATTGAAACCACACACAAACACTAACATGGCCTCAGAGCCTGGTTTCATCGTCTAATCTGGGCGTGAAATCTGTGCGATTGAGCTACATCTTTGAGCTTCAATCGAATCTGGAAATTGTGATTTCTTGTACTCAAGTCTCATATGGATGGGTCCGGCAATGTTGAGCTTAGAGCTCCGGTCTTCAATGGAGAGAACTATGAATTTTGGAGGATTCGTATGACAACTATACTGAAATCGTATGGTTTGTGGGAGCTGGTAGAAAATGGGTTTGAACCTCCAGATCCGAAGTCTGAGAAAGCTATGGTCAATGAGACGAAGAAGGAGA